GAAAAATTATTTTGTTGTTGTTGTTAATGGTTTGTTTGAAAAAATAAATATACGCTATTTACATCCGAAGAAAGTTTCATTTCCTATGTGTAACAATCGCGAAAACCTAGAACTCGATATATTTGCTTTTTTTTAAAAGAAAACAACGTTCCGGACTCATTACAGGTTCCATGGTCACGGTTGACCAAAAATAGTTACTCTTATACGAAAAATTAAAACAAAAAAATAGTTTCTTTTCCTAAGTATTTAAATGTATTTATAAATAACATAGAACACGAACAAAAGTTAATGTTTTTTTTAACCTGACCTTCAATCAGCGAATATCTGTACTGAGGGAATACCAGAGTAACGATTCACTAGCACTAGCACTACTCTTACACCCAGACCACGTTCAATTAAAAAAGTTGAAAATGTGATTCCACCCAGAATCGGACCCGGGACCTATTTATTCATCGACTACCTATAGTATTAACCACTAGGCCACCGAGGTAGTCATATGATATTAACGAGGCTTAAAAGAATGAGATTGTGCTTCATAAAACACCTACTCGCAACTATTACCGATACAAATAAACAAGGCTGATGACTCATTTTCTTAATTCTTGCTTAACAATCTAAGATAGAATGAAGAATTCGTTTATGACGTCATTGCCGGTAAACATTGTATAGAAAAAAACTTCTTAGGTAAGTAGGTTTTGAAATTATTTTTCCGGATTTAAATCGCGTATATTTGTTTTTTCAAACATACCAGCGTTTCGGGCCTTATTCAGGTCCCGTGGTCACAATTGTCACAGTCAACCGTAAATGCTACAAATTCATACTTGACGGTTTGTCTCTTTAGATGTAACCTACTGCACAAAAACTTTTGACAAAACCTACTTATCGAGTTTTTAGGTTTTCGCGATTGTTACACATAGGAAATGAAACTATTTTTCCAGATTTAAACAGTCACAGGTCATAGGACCTATAAAAGGCCCGAAACGTAGGTTTGTATGCAAAAACAAATATACGCGATTTAAGTAAAGCCCGTAGTTGTTTTTTTGAGATCCATATTGCGAAACTGGATACCCCCTATCATACGCCGTTATTGTCCATGAACGGATAAAGTAACTCTCAAGTTAGTTTAGTTATGGAGTCAAGAGACTTCGGAAAATCGTAACCCGCAATTCGTCACACGAAATGACGTCGTACACAACAAACCAAACTCGTATGTTGGCCAACTAGGCGGGTTGCCAATGTGTCGTAACTGGGCACGTTTGTTACGTCGCTTAACTGCTGAATTAGCGTAATAGATCTGTACCAAGGTCAATTTATGTTACCTTCCAAAAATATATAATTTTCTTATTTTAAACATCTGTCCATAACCGAAGTCCCGTTTTATTTGATTTTTAAGTCGGGACTTAATCATGTATAACACATTATTATTAAACGTCCCTTCGGGACCATGGACTTCACAATACGTCTGAAACGTGATTAAGTCCCGAATTCAAAATCAAATAATGAATGAAAATCGTGAAAGTTTAAGTCGAAGTCCTATTTCTTCAAGGTTACTAAACAAACGTATAGCTATTATAGAATACTATTTTGTATCTATATATACTTTATATAAATGTACACTTAGTGCACAATGTCAATTTGAAACTATACAAACGTATAAATACCATTTGGTTGCTATATAAAACTGTAGTTACTGTAAAATCCCATTTTATGACTACACGAACATCTATGTGTTGGTAAATAATAAACATTGACTATTTTATAAAATAAAAAGAAAAAAGCCCTAACAGCTTAATGGTTTGACCTACCGCCTCTCAAGCAGATGGGCGTATGTTCGAATCTAGGCTCGCACCTCGGAGTTATTCGAAATTTGTGCGCGTAATTTAATTTGAAGTTTACTATGAGACATATAACAACGTTCCTTAATAGTACGAAATAGCGCTTCTTTATTACGTAGTCTAAGAGCCAGGCACTAATCAAAATCTGAGTAATTGACCGACCTTGTAATAATGTAAATTTGTCGTAAATGTTTCCACACACCGTTCCCCTCCTGACTAAATGTCGTAACTAACGTTAAAAAATTTTGAACTGATTGACTTAATTTGAATTGTAGCTCGCCTAGGGCACAGCTCGTATCAAACTCATTCTATCGCACATAAAAAGTAGAGTACATATAAAAAACAAAGATTATTATAAAATGTTCTCTTCTGAAACCTGATTGAATTGTGTCGGTCAAAGAGAGCTTTATGTCCATGCAGTAAGAACGAAAAAGACGTTGTGCATTTCGATTCCGCTGGAGCCGCCGACGCACAATGTGTTTTTCACTCTTATTACATATTAAATTATGCCATAATGCTTTTTCTGAGGGGCCTAATGCGATTGTCGATAATGCCATGTCGGTAAGTGTGACGACTTCCTAAAATTCAAGATACGACAATTAATGATTGGGGGATTATATTATGTAAACCATACCACAATTCCACTTCAAACATTAAGTCAATGACTTCAAAGGTTTTTCTTTTTAGTATATTTTTTTGTTGAGCATTGGCTACAGAGCCATCAGCTAATAAAATCAAAATGCGATACTAAAATTGTAACTACAAAAAACGCGCCATTTTCTGCTCATAAAAATTACATGTCTTAATTTAATTAAATTTTCAAGACATCATTGGAAGAGGATGGCGACGAAGAACATTCTCAGATCAAATTGAAAGTGTTTTTAAAAAGGTTTGAGTGCGTAATGAGAAGAATAAGAGGGCCTGTATTAAAAGGTTGATGAATGAAAGTGAAGCAAGAGAAATTTGTCAGGATCGTGCTAAGTGACGATCGATAGTACCTGCCTACCCCAAAGGGAATCTAAGGGCATAAGTATAAATAAGAACAATAATAAAAAAAATTACTCAATAATGCCTATACATAAGGAATGTTTATTTCTTATTATTGTAAAACTATGAAATATATATTACAAACTATTGTAAAACAACTCTACATTAATTATATCACCACTATACTATAAATTATATATCACATTCTAATGGCTTTGCAGTTGAGTTTCGTGTTCCATTACCCCTAATATCATGTCGAAATTTACTAAACCGTGTATGACGGCGTATGTATGGAGGTTGCTAAGACATGCATGAGATATATGTTACCGAGTTACGTAAGCATACAGTTTCTCTAGGTCGACGTATACAAATTTTACCACAAATTGCAGCTACTGTAAATTTTCCATGTAAACTCTATGCTCTTAGTAGTGGTAGAGTTTTCTTTTTTATGGTACCAAATAAAGGGAAGAACAATCGTGCACCTGGTGGTAAGCAGTAGAGCTCCTTGTGAAAGAGTTGAAGTGACAGTACTTCCCAGAACGAACTCTTTCACTAGGAGCTCTACTGATATTAAAATTGCTGTCTGTGCAGAATCTGTAGTAGAACTGGGTAGGCACCACCACCTTACCTATTTCTACTGTAAAGCAGCACTGATTTTCTATTAGTCCAAAGTAACAGATACTTAATACGTACTACATGCTTCTTAATGTTTCGGTTGAAAAAATCCTAAATAATCGTGACGACGTAAATATTTCATGACCTTGATTTAATAAAGCCACTTGTGATCATATTATGTCAAACATTTATTATGTGAAAATAAAAAATAACACGAATTACTTGAGACAATCTAATTCGTATGTATATGTGAAATTTCATAACTGTCCTTTTAAGCATTAGAAATTTGTCGACTCTCTCATGAAAAAAATTTACATTTTGCAAGAGCATATGAGACCTTATAACATATGCGATGTTAATATTGATTTAAGATTATAGTTGCAATTTTTAAGTTATTGAATGTCACGATGTTTGACAAACCATGATATTCAAATGTTTTTGTGAAATTAATTCACTAGTTTGTTATAATTTATAATTATTAATACAAAGATCTAAAACTTCAAAAATTCCTTCAATCCGGCTTGATTGGAACATCTAGCAAACGGAGCCATGGAACGAACTAGCGGACCTTACGAATTTTTCTATGTGCTTGTTGCAGATCTTTCTTTTGGTTTTAACGATTTTTTTGCCGTAGCGCCATCTGTGAGAAAGCTATTTCATCATACATTATGATTATAGTTTTTTAAACTAAAACTATCTACTATTTCTTATAAAATAAACTGTGAAGAGTTACAAATAGACTTTTATTTCTTCAGCTACTCTCCAAACATTTTCAGTCAGCACAAAATTGTCTGTGACAACTTTAAAGGTCAGCAGCCCTAGACGCAAGAATATGGCGGATACCAAATGTTGTGTTATGTAAAATATTTTTCATATGCCTAAAGTTTAGATCAAATTAGACTGAACCTAAATATGTACCATATAAGAAACTAATATTATACTATCCTATTACATATTACGTTTGCTTGACTTTCAACACGTTGAAAATATTATTTCCGCAGATGATGATCAAGTTGTTTACCTACAAAATGACACATCTCTCATACATATATTAATGACCGTGTCATAGAAATACGTACAAGATATGTAAACAGTATAATTTGTTTTTGCTATAGCTTCAATAGTATCTTTCCTTTTTTTTTCAGTTTGCAATAATTGCAAAGTGAACAATCAACAACAAATCGAGGCACCTATTAGGTCATCTCCCTAAAAAAAGAAACTGGTACGTACGCCATACATAATGAATAGTAAGTATAAAGATTTACAATCAATTATATACACAGTTGTATCCAACGACATATCGTGAAACCAGTACGTAAATTTCTCACATTCAAAACAAGCTATTTACATCAATTTGTACGGGTTGACCTGTAACTCTACACAATATCACCCATTAGCTAACCGATGGAAACGAACTAAATTGCCGGCTTTGTACACATTGTGGTACGTATACGACGTACAATGCAATGCATACCTAAAAGATGTGATATACTGCCAAATACACTTAACAACAAAAGGCCATTTTTCAAATTAAAGGCAATAAATTAAAGGAAAATCACTTACCCACAAGTGCACATTTCGCAGATACACTGTTCCTTAATAACTGTCTTTTCAGGTTTTTTAGGGCCTCTTGGCCTGGTCTCTTCAATGAAAGTGGTCTCGGAAGTAGTTCTATCGTCGAGTATGGTCTTCCGATCATCAATGACGGTCTCATCATAGACCGTGCTGATATCCTCTCTCGTGCTAGTGATGGTATGGTCGACCACATCATATTCGCGTACGTCCTTCGTCATCTTGGCGTCTCGCTAGAATAAAATAATTCCGCATTACAGGCGAATTCCGGCATCAAACATCAATCCTATAAGTAATCATAAAGTTACATACCAAGTTTGTAACATCCATCGCGCTCTTGTCGACGAAAACGTTTGTCTTGACCTTGTCATCCTCTTTTGCATCCTCGTATGTGGTAATCTTCGTTTTTATTCCATTCTCGATTATGTAGCGCGTGACTTCTACTTGACTTTTAGTCTTTTCAACTTCAAAAGACTTCTTAGTAAATTCGGTATTAGCGGTATTCACAATTGTCGTGAGCTCTTCGGCGTCAACGCCTTCGTACAAATCCTTTACGTCTTCATTTATTTTAGTTCCGAAAGAAACCTTCTCAATTCTTTTGAAAGGATACTTCTTTACTGTATCAATGATGTCTTTCAACACCCTATCATCTATCGTCCTTCTGTTAATCACAATACTTTTATCACTTACAGTAACATTTTTGTTAGACTGCGTTGTTTCGATGATTTTCCTCAAATCACTTATTGATGTAAAATCTTTAATGTCCCTCGAAGACAATATGATGTTTTCTTCTGTATCTTGCCTTTTCAGATGATGCCTTGGTTTTTCTGGTCGACCAAAAGGAGACATATCTTTTGGTCGTTTGGGCCTATCATCATCCTTTTCGTAAATGAATTTTCCATTCCAAGTCCCTGTACTTCGTTCATAAGTTGTAAGGGTATCTTTTGTCTCCTTGTTCAACGTGGATGCTGTCTCTTGTGTAAGGTGTTGTTTCTCAGTAGTCAAAAATTCGCTTGTGTGCTGAACATTACTCGAGTCCTTTATGGTAGACTGATCAGTAGATGTCGTTTGATAAGTAGATGAGTGAACATTGTCATCAGTTGTACCTTGAATGCGTCGATTCAGAATATCATCTGTATCATTGAAATTTTCAGTAATAGCCTTCTTTTTTGTATAGTCACCGCCGTGAGTGTTACTTGTGTAAGCGATTTGTTTTCCATCTTTATATAAAGCGGACTCTTCTGAAACGTAGTTAGAGCTCGTAGGTACTCCGTCTTTACCAGTATCGTAATGAGATTCTTTATCCAAAACATGGCGAGTATATTCATGTTGAGGTTTAACACCAGTTCCGCCCACATTGTGACTCTTCTCATACGTCGCATGCTCTTTGCTATCGCCCCATTCTCTGTTAGACGTATCAATAATCCTTTCCTTTCCGTCGACTATTTCAACCCTGTATGACGAAGAAGTGGCTTGCTCAGCACTACTGGTGTTACTCTTCATGATTTTAGTTGAAAAGTTAAAGTTTTTGCTGTCTCCCACATGTAAAATATCACCAACTTTTTTCAATTCATCTTGTACAGTTGTGTCATAACCGTAAAAGTTTGATGAATCTGTTTTGTTTACATTACGTCTCTTATCCTGTGTTGTGGCATCAATTGATTTTATATTGCTTTTGTTTGTTTTGATAGTATCCTCGCTATTAGACGTAGTAGTAGTATAATTTTGAGAGCTTGAACTGATTTGCTCTTCCGTAATATTTGACAGTTGATGATAATCACTAGTATTTGAGTGATCTTGAGTAGAAATATTAGCATTTAACTTATCTTGTGTGATGTTAGAATGATTATCTTTAGAAGTTAGCTGTCCCTGTGTAGAAGTATATTGTTGTTCAATAGAATTGTCCTTCTCCTTAATGTAGTTAGTGTGAGAAGTGACTTGACTTCCGTCTTTAATAAACTTTGCATCTTCTTTTATTGTCAATTCACTTTTAGGTTTTTTTCCATCTTTTCCAGTGTCGTATTTAGATTTCATGTCATAATTCTGTATGCTATGTGCCGATTGTGGCTTGATACCTGTACCACTTACGCTATCGTATGCCTCACTTTTGGCTTGTTCTTTAGCATCGCCCCATTCTCTGTGAGTGCTGTCAATTATGCGTTCTTTGCCATCTATTATTTCAACAACGTACGACGATGAAGAGGATTTTACTACACTGCTGCTCTTACTCTCACTAGATTGTGAAGTGCTCGTAAACTGTTTTGTCCTTGAATCTTTGTCAAGCGATCCTTCACCACCGTAGAAGTTAGAAATATCAGACTTTGCAGTCTGACCTCTTTTCGACGGCTGAGGAGAATTTTGGTAAGTTACATTCTCTCGTTGGTTAGTGTTCTTCTGATTTGTTGATGTAAATTTGCTTGCATCAGATTTTGAAGAAGTAGACTGGTTCGTTGCGGCTGTTTGCTTATTTAGAACGTCCTGACGTTCAGATTGAAGCAAAGAATTAGTAGCATTAGCACCTTGAGATCTTGTTAAGAATGTAGATGAGGAGTCTGCGACACGGCTTCCATTGCTATCTAAAAAGGCGGTATTGAGAGTTTGATTTCCAGAAGAAGAATCCATAGTTCGATCAAATGTCTGGCTTTGACTAGAACCAGACTGTTGAACAGATGTAGAAGAAGATTGATAAGTCTCACTCTTAGAACTTTGTTGTTGCGATGAGGATTCTTGTAGCACCGACGATGAAACGAACTCACCAGTTGTGGACAGAGCCATATCACTTGTATGATGTCCTAGCGATCTTGTTTGCGATAGATCAGTCATCGAAGGAGCTTCCGTGATAATATAGTGCGGGTGGCTGTTATAATGCTCCGATATAGTGGAGCCAGTCACCGACCCATGGTCGGTTACGTCAGTTATCATAAGCGGGTCGTCTTCCTCGACCTTTACCTCGATGTAGCGGACCTTCTTGCCGGAGCTGACTTTCTGCACAGTACTGCTGCTGGTTGTTGTTGAACTGCTCTTTTGAACACTCGTCGAAGCTCCACTGGACGAAGCCACTTGATTAGACTGCTTAGTCTTTTTATTTTTAATTGTCATTTTGATCCCACAATAAATTATTTACGCCCTAAAACTTAACCTCTAAAGAGATTCTTAAATTACGATTAAATATTCTTAAATGCAAGTCTTATTATATCACATAATAAAGTTGTCAAACAATTGCCATGTAGTGAGTGGTAGCGGTCACGAGAGTCGTTCGTGTCGAGTCGCGTGCGCGCGCGCTGCTCGCGACTGGCTCGCGGATTCTGAGCGTGCGCACTGCCGCGCGGGTTCTGGCAAAGGCGCCCCCCGGCTCAGTACGGTACCTTGACGCCACACCGCCGCCGCCGCGCCGTCGCATCGCCCACAAGGCCTTCGACTCAGTGACACGTAAGCGCTTACATCTCCCAGCCGATCGAACACCAAAAAAGGTGTAAATGACACAAAGTTTCACTTAATCTTCAACCTTAGTCAGTCCTCTTGCTCATGAATTAATGAATCGGCCATATGACCTCTAAATCTGCATCGATTACGGAACAGTGCCAAGTTCACAATGCACTTGTTATTTCCGTCTGTACCGTCATAAATATTTTTCATTCAGTCACTGTCTGCAGTACTTAAACGAGTAAACAATCATTTTTCACCATCAACCTTGCACCCCCTTAGTGATCCTCGACTAGACTAATACAAAGTGTGGTAACGTACAATACCCTCACTGGTGGGTCGATAATTCTGAAACACTGAACTTGACGATTGTGTGATTACCTACGTACTTTATGTGCCCACCATACAACATAAATGTGTCGTTTTTAAAATATGTAATTGACGATGGAGTACCTATGTATCTTAGAATGCGCTATTTTCATAATATTATACCTGAACGTGTTCGGTGTATATAATTTTAAACTGTATTTAATATGTATTTATGTGGTAACAATATAATTATTATATGGTATGGTATAGTAATTATTAAGATAAACATTATAGGTATAACATCAAAACTGTGCTAATATTATTATGTACTTTTCTACCCATGATGATGAATAAAAATATTATAATTAATAATCGCATAAGCATTTTTTAAGAGAATAATTGTATTTTACACGCGTATGTAAAACATAAGTAAAGCCTATAGGCTGACGATATAGATGTATGGTATCTATTTACATAAAGTTTTGGTGCAACGCTGCCTCGTCGTAAGATACCTATCTGCATTCACGGCGGCGGCCTACATTTTTTATCATCCTGTACAACGTCAAATATTTAGTATTGATTACGGTAAGTTACATGAAGGTGTATTATATCCGAACAAATGTATAAATTTATAGATTTTGTAGTAATTTAATCTACCCTTTCGTAGAAAATTTATTTATCTTTGAATGTATGAAGTTAGTTAGTTACAGTAGTAAGTACTTAGTTTCGTCTTGAAAGTATTTAGGTCCATAAATAGGAAGTTACATAACAAAGTAAATGAGAAATATCTAGATTTTTTATTTATTTATTCCAGTAGCAACGCTAGATCGTTGTATCATTGTATGCGTACCCTTGGCAATATCTTGGTAATAACTCATCTACTTAAGCATAAAAACATCATCGACTAATTTCGTTCGTATGTATTAAACCTCTTTCCTGAAACATTATCATTTTTCAGACGTAGACTTTTATATTTCTTAAATGTGTAAGAATAATTAGGGACCCAACCATAAAGATCAAATGAGGACTTTAAACTTCTGCAACATGAGGACTTTGTCTCGAAATACTACTTACGGTAACTCGACCAATATCCATTATTTAATTCTGCGAAAAAACATTAATGTTATTAGCGAATTTCTTTAAAATTGAAAAAGCAATAACAGTATTAAAACTTATAGGCAGGTCTGAACCCAGACGTGGGTTGCGCAAGGCCCGTTTCTTGACTATACAAGGCAGTGGTGGGCGAATCGGTTTGAATCACGCGCCCACACCGTGATTGAGTGCATATAGCCCGCAAAACTTAATTAATCAATGCTTTAGAACCGTTATTTTGGATTTATATAAATTTCAAACGCAGACTTCCCATATTAATAGCACAGATAATATTAATATTATAAAAGTTATATTCCTTACCTACCCTCCAAACAATACCCACTTACCTACTGTGTCGAAAATATTTCCAAGAAATTGCAATACTGAATCATGTCAATGCCCTGCATGCAGACTTGAACGGTATAACTTGGGAATGTTCAAGGCAAGAGTGAATAGTCATTATTTAGGTGTGCATATTCCTTCGTCGACCTCATTCTCACTTTCTATATAGGTGAGATGGAGGTCAAATGCGCACTTATTTTAAAAAATACTCTTTATTGCACACAAGGAACAAATACAAAAACGAACAAAAGACAAAGTTTACAATCTCTTCCAGGCAACCATGCTATTATCACATATATATATAATACAGTGGCGTCATTCAGGGTCTATGCAGCCCCTCATAACACTGCTACCATATTAAATATAACTTTTTTATAAAAAAAACCGACCTCAAAAGTTCGTAAAATTACATCTATTTGCCAAATTTTATTGAAATCGGTTACCGGTAAGTGCGCGAAACCGGATTCATCCCATAGTTTGCCACCCTTGGAGGTGGAATATTTTCTTCAAATTTAAATGGGACCAATACTGAAGTACCCTCATTCCAACAAAAAGAGAATCATCAAAATAGGTTCACAAATCCGAAGTTATCGCGTAACATCACAACACGAATTAAGAACCTCCTCCTTTTTTCAAGTCCGTTAAAAAGAACATTGAATCACGCTAGTACATAGATATCGTTGATAGAATCTTGATGTTTCCTTAAACTATATATCAGAGCTCAAAAAATATTTAACGATCTATAAAAAAAACTGACAAATACAATGCCTCCAATTATCCTTTTTATGCCTTTTTAATTATAATATCATTGATGGCCTTTAAATTTTTTTTACATATGGAACGGCCAATTGGACGCGTATATTGAGGTCTTGGTCTGTAGCGGCGTTAAATCGCGAAGAGTGGAAAAAGAGAAGAGAAGGGAAGCCTTTGCCCTGCACTACAGTGGGACAGAAGTGGCTGAAAAGTGAAATGGAATCCCAGATTCAAATAATTCCTTTCTCGCTAGTTTTATTTACATATGGTATCGCTTACGCTATCTTTCGTCAGTAATACTAACTTTTAACAAAGTGTTAAGTCACCTGCACTCTAGCGATGAGGAACAAAAATGCTTCAGTGTAATGAACAACTTAGCATGCTCACTAAATTAATCCGATTCACCTCACTAGATGGCAGGATTGTTGAAGAGAAACTGTAACGGAGACACTAGATGGCGTTACTGATTTAAAGTCGATAAATGGCCGCGTGCGTCATCTCGCTGCGCAATCAAGCAAGCACGGAAATAACTAAACAGCTGTTCTACAATATTCGCTCGGGCAACTCAGGCAAGCAGCAGCTGTGAAGCGAACGAACACGCAGCCGTTTTCCTTGGGATTGCAATTGTTTGGAGTCGTTGTGAAGTCTCATTGTTATATTGTTCGCCGAGTGGATTGGACCAAACTTCCATTTTTCAGCGTTTATTGCTGCTGAGAATCATAATTTATCTGAGCTGAGCAGTATTAGCGTTCGAAGTGTGTGAATCATAAATATCCCGTGGCAATATGTTTACCAAAAATCGTCGTTCGTTGTTGTGACGAGAAATGCCCGTGAATACGTGGACGAGATTTCCGCAGTGTTATGTCAATAGAATCTCTTGTAGATAGTGGTTTTAGTTTGCTAGAAGTAGGAAGGTTTACAGACAATGTCTAGTACAGTGCCAACGAGTTCAGCTCTAAGGGCTTTGGCCCTAGAGTACAAAAGTCTACAAGAGGAGCCCGTAGAAGGGTTTCGAGTGAAACTGTTGGGAGAGGACAATTTATTTGAGTGGGAAGTTGCAATATTTGGACCTCCAGACACGCTCTATCAAGGAGGATATTTCAAGGTAAAAATATACATAGCTTAAAGGATGTTGCGAAAGATTTTATCATAGTCAAGTGGTGATATAAAACTAACAAAATGTGCGTAAACATCGAAGTCAAGTCAATTCATTAAGTTGAAATGTTCTGGTGAAATCGGTAAATAATACCGCAAGTTTTAAAGAGGTTTATAACCTCAAAGGTGCAGCATCACTTTCAAAAATTAATGTTTAGTTTCATCAAAACTTTGATCTCACTCTGTGGCAAATGTTGCAATATGATCTTCAGAGTTATTATTACATTTACAACTATTTGATGTATATTAAATTTTATATATTACCTGGCAAATTTTTGTTTGCATAATAAATATATTGCCAATATTTATGGTGACACTAGGCATATTATTTACTAAAAAAACTTCATAAGAAAGATATTGGAAACAAATAAACATTTTAAACACTATATATATTATTAGTTTTATATGGACACACTTAAACTGACACAGTCCTTGTTCTCGGAGTATGGCTCTTGCTGGAGTTGCGCTCATACCATTACAACATATCACAATTTGTATAATGACTTGAGACCAATGTTTCCACCCAGCTAAAGTAACATATTTGACAAGCCAGATAAAAATTTTTGAGCACTGAGTTCAATGTAACTAACTATAGCACTATGTGTTGTAGTATTATTATACCCAGCATTATATCCATTTGTCTCACTTTGCTATCAAAATGCAGATTATTTGTAAGATAAACAATGTGCTTGCTTGTTATAGTTTTTTAATGTGCTAAACATAATTGAGGAATTTTCCTTATGCTCGAATTCTAATGTGTCATTGAATTAATAATTGCAATGATATACACTTTGGTTTATAGTAAAGACGGCATCACATCAAGCTACATGTTGACAGGTCTTGTTCCATTGCACAGGAAGCAATATTCGAACACAAGTGTATTGTATAAGTGACAATCCTCGTGGTCGAGTGGCTTGCATGCTGGTTTTCATGATGTCGCCACCTCTGACATCCTAGATTCGATCCCCAGCCATGTCGCAGTAAAATAACTTTTCTATATTGTCTTAGATCTGGGTGTTCGTATATAGTATTGTTGTTGTTTCCAATTACCATAACACAAGTGTTTTATTTACTTATTTTGGAATCAGAGCAACATATGTGATGTTGTCTAACATTTTTTTAGTATAGCTTGATGTGTCGTTGACAGTACATAAATAAATTCTATATTAACATAGACCAAACATTGTATTTAGCCTAAAATACACCCTAGTTTAGGTAGGAACAAGTTCTTATTAATAGTCAGGGTTTTAAGCGATATTGTGGTTAGGAGATTTGCATGCCCAATCTCAATCAAGGACAAAAACTGTAAACCCTATCATGATGTAAATGGGCCTTTGATGAGCTTAAATAATTCACTCCAAGGTGAATGATGAAAAATAATCCTACAGGTCTTCAACCCACTTGGTGAAGTAATTAGTGGCAATCACAACATGTCAAATCAACTATAAACCTTAACATATTACATCTCTATTGATTGCTGTTTAGTAAAAAATGGATTAAACTTGTAATTTGCTATGGCCTAAAAACTAATCACAATTTTACTAATGTATTGATAACATTTATTTTCATTCCACTTAAATCAGAACATTATATATGTAGGTACAAAGAGGTATTTATTAGATCACCTTTATTCCCAAAGGTTCTAAGACATTTAAATCTTCTCTTCAATTCTTAGTTCCGCTCTGGATGAAGTGCTTTTGCTGTAAATGTAACTCTCTAGTAACACAATTTACTAAATATTCTGATATGCATTATTTGTTCCAGGCACATATGAAATTTCCTCCAGACTACCCATATTCACCACCATCCATTAGGTTTTTAACAAAAGTATGGCATCCAAATGTATATGAGGTAAGTCTACATTTATTTGCAAATTATTGCTGCAGACAATTTTGGCTAGTGTTAAAACAGGTATCATATTTCTCATAAAAGTAATAAAAAAATTTTTGGTTTAGAAGTATAGAGTACATTATATTATAGTAATAATGAAGGAAAATTACAGCAACTCAGTTCTATTTTTTGCATTTACACTTAATAACAATAGAAATGTAATAACAGGTACTTGTTTAAATTACCTAAATATTAAATTTAAAAAGGCATGCATAACTGTACTGCGAAATTAAATATGACTTGGCAGTGATACCTACTCTACTATGCCTAGTGCCAAGCGTACTGAAACTAAGTCCGTAATTTCAAGTCTTCACATTTCATCAAATAACAGATCGCTATTTAATCTTAATGATCCAACTTTGTGACAAATATTGCAACAAATTGAAATTTCTGTACTTGTGACTAAGCTAAGGAAGTAGATGTAGATGTGTTGTTTCCCTTCCAATAGTGAAATATTAGACCTCGCGAGATGTGCGATACGCCAGTAGATAGGTCTTAGGCTCAACTCGCACTGGCGTAGAGTCGAACGTCGCGTCACGTCCTGTTTTTCAACTACAACGCCTGGCGACGCGCGACGACTCTCGCTTTAGTGCGCCCCGATCACAGTGTGGTCGGCGTCTGATGCCTCACTGCGCCCAAGTAACGCGAGTCGACTCACGAAACAGCTCGACTTCAACCAAGCGTTGACGCGCGAATGCGCATGTCGTCGCGCGTTTCCATATTTGCATAACCCAAATTTGGACCTTAACGTTGGGAAAATAGAGATGAATATGCTATAGGCGAAAACATGACGCGTCGCGACGCTTTGAGTGAGTTGAGCCTTAGGTTGTTACTTGGCCAAGATGTATGCACAATGACACTGTTACGACAACGTACAACGTACGACTTTTTGGTACAGCCATGTATTCAAATATATCAAACTCTGTTTAATAATATCATTAACGATTTTTGCTGAATAAAAATAGCATCAGTCACATTGTCAATACAAACTGAGAAAAAATTTAAACCACGAAGATTGTGAGTTTATTTCAACGCTCAAACTAGAAATACAATATTTGACATTACTTTTTACTAGGTAAACTCACTCTTTATCATATATATCTTATTTACGACTGATGAGCTAACATAGGTCTTACGTGTGGATAATGCAATTTTATACAAAAATGGATGTATTTTCTTGTCTGAATAAGTAATTTTATTTTTATGTGTGATTATTGAAAACTAACAATGTTCATTGAACACGAACTTTGTTTAGTGAATTGATTGAATGCTGTTATTGTTACAAAACATAATATTTTGTAAAAACACTCACAACAAAATCTTAATTCTGTATTAAACCGTATGAACAGTCTTTGTTAAATAGTCAAATTGCGTAACGTTCTATCTAGAACAACAGATTTTAATTACAAAAAAGAAGAAAAAATATTTCGAGTCGAAAAACCCAATTCAAATGTATCAAATGCATGGGTACGTTTTAAAAGTAAATACGGTATCAAAACGATTTTTCTGCAGGAACCAAAGAAATACCGAAAAACAATAATATCATTCACATTCATCGTTTTTAAATAACTAAGGAATATAGGTTAAACACATGTAAACGTGTTTTTAATAAGGTTTCATTCTTGCATCATTTCAATTGATATGTATGTGTAACAAAAAAAACAATTGTAGTTTAAAATTTTTTACTATGTATTGTGCTATATAAACTCATATACACTTTCTACTGCTACACTGGTCTCCTCAAAGGAAAACAGCGTTAATAATTTATTACCTGAATTCATCGTTATCATATAATAAACCTGATTTGTGAAACCGTTACGTATTTGGTAATAGAATTTGGAATAGTTTCGTGTAATACTACGAGTAATCTGGCTAAATCAACTTACCAATTTCGTAATTATGCTTACCATCTACGTATATGTATACATTTTACACTACATATGTACGAGCAGCAGTACTTTAATCTGATAACTTAGTAATTCAGACCAAGGTTTCATTATAGTTACAACATTATCAACATACACAGTATAATGTAACATTATGTAAGTGTGTATAAATATTAAATGCAGCTTCTTAAACTTGAGACTGAATTTAGTAAATGCAATTTTGTTGGAAATTGAAAAAAACATACGATTTATAAGGTTGTGACTCTTTTGCCTTGGAGACGAATCAATTAACTGTCATTTTCTTATAATTTATAGGCCGTTTTAAACCTATTATGAAAATGGAAAATTATGCTGACTATTGAAAACGTCACCCTTGCTTTGCTTGTGTCGTGTTGTCGTCTTGGATAATTAGAGCCGTACCTTCATATTTTCATCATAACATTCGCTTCAATAAAATGACGTCCCAAAATATAAATGCACCTATTTTCCATCAAGTGTTACTTGTCTGTGTGTTATGCCTTGTTTATGAGTGTTATTTAAAAATTATAGAAGCATCTCATTTCAAATTATTTTTTGTTTTTCACATGCAGTAAATTGAATTAAGTTATCAAATTATTCTCTCGCTATAATATGGATTTTTAATGCTGAGAGCATTAAAATAAAAAATAGTAATAATATAATAACGTTAATATATTGTCTTCATTGGCACTAACAGATTAAGTAAGTTACAATTTTTTTTAAACTATTGACATAGTACCTTTCAGAATTACATTTTCTATGTTGAAATATAACTAATTCATTTTCGTTAAAATTGTACGGATTGAATACGGGCGGAATACTTCAATAAATCGTATATCTGTGATATTATAGCAAAAACCTGGATATGACTGATTATTTGTTTACTTTTCTGTGAAGAGCCTGAAACGTTGTTTGTTAAAAAAAAATCAATATAATACGCGATTTAGATCCGGGAAAAAAAACTACTTTATGTCCAATGTATAGCAATCACGAAAATCTAAGAACTCAATGCTTTATACGTTTCTTATAGTTTTAGTAGCAGTAGAGCTCCTTGTGGAAGAGTTCGTGCACGTAAGTACTGCCACCTTACCTATTTCTGCCGCCAAGCAGTAATGTGAGCATTACTGCGTTCCGGTTAAGAAGGGTAAGGGTGCTGGTGTAATTATAGGCACATGGGACTTGTCAACTTAAGTCTCAGAGAGACGGCGGCAATGGCGGTGCCCATAACATTTTTGCAATTTAAAGCTCTGAATGGCACTGCAACTGTTATGGATAGGCGTGTCGTTTACCACCTGGCGCACGACTTGCTCGTCCCATCACTTGATAAAAAATTATACATTAATAAAATTTTACTTCTACAATCATGGCCTCTCTAACCCTATTTTCTCCGCTTCACCTATTTCCTCGACACATTTCTGAATAAGTTATCACTTCGAACTTCACTACTACGGAAATCTCTATTGTTTACCGACTAGCTGTTGGTCTTCCAAGGTATCTTGTTTCCTACTTCACTTGATTACGTCGTTCAAATGTCTAACTAACCTCCTTTTTGAACTTGTATAATATTGTAATAGTATGACAATAACTTTTAGTTTCCTACTCGTATCTTAGTTGATACATGAGTCCAATATCCGGAACAGGGTGTCCCAAATGAGTAGATAGTAAAAAACCAATTTATGATTAAAAAATAAAGTGGTCATTTCAAGAAATGGTCATTACAAGAAGTGGTCAATTAGAGAAATGGTCCTTTTTAAATGTGGTCACTTCTCATTGTGGCCCTAAACCTCCGAAAGGTTTTTAGTACTCTGTACCTTCTGAGATTATAAAGTAATTCTTTCACCAAAATAAACATTTTTTTATGAACTACAAGCAAAATATTATTTTAACTTATGCGAATTATTATTGTTATTATTATATACATCGTTATCTACGAACTTCATTATAAATTCGATAAAAATACACTTCATGTCGCTCCTTGTCTATCATTTGGAACACCTTATTCCGACCATTGCACATGACTATGGGTTCCACCATCTGAAAGTTAAGAAACTTGCGGAACCGCTTAACTTTTGAAATCAATCTTATAGTCCCTATGAGACCTATCAAGCAAAATTCGTGTAGTGTCAATCGGCTTATCGCTTAAATCGAGTACCTGGCTCACTGTGTCGCAACTGTCAACGTCTTTGACCGCGTACCGTTTAGCTGCACCGCGGTGTGACCCACTTTGTTTGAAATAGGTTTTTGTAACTCCAAACTTGATTGTAAAGCTAATTGATTATTTAATTTGCAAATTAAACATTCAACTTTCATTATGGAAATGTTCAAAAGTGGCTAATGAAATAGAAATCGTCCTTGGTTATAACCAGTAAGTTGTTCGCGAAAGGTTCGGTTTTTGTATACGTACGTGATACGATTGCTCAAGAATCTTAAAATACTGTAGCTTTTATTATATTGTGTTGCTTATTTGAATAATTTGAAGCGTTGTACAAATACCTACATCTAACTGCGTATTCTAACTCTGCAACTTTTCGTTCGAGGTCACATGCGACATACAGCTATTTGGATTCGCAGTTTCTCAAAACGAGCCGGTTGTACTGTTTTCGCGGCATCACAGACTTACCGTTAGCTTTTAGAAAAGTGCTTTGCTTCGACGCAGAATAATGTAGGCAGTGTGGCACTGGGGTCATCACTCCAAGCGACTGATTCATTCGGTGACGCGCTCTACCGTGGAACGGCATTTTTCTAAGAACTACTTATTATTACATTTGTTATCATTTCTACTGTGTATACCATGCCCCATATATTTGCTAAACGTTCGAGACGGGAGAGTACAAAATCGTAGCAGGACTGAGATTGTTATAATATCATAAGGACTCCATGACATAGGAACAGGAGTGAGATGTTGCAATGCGAACTGAACTCGCAATAATTCTGACGTCAACTACAACGCGTGTTGACCCTCGCGAAATAAACACATGCTGACTCCAATAATGAACTTATTATTAAATAAATACCTACTCTATTCAAAATCTCAAATATTTATTTATTGAAACTGTG